AAGTAGCTTGACAACCATCTAGAAAGGATTCACCATTCAAGATGCCACTAAGAAAATGTGTGACTCATAGGAGGAGATGAAAACAGCAACATTAACCTGCATTTGAAAGTTGAATCCAAAACCTTAAACTGGGAGAACCTTAGTCCCCTCTCCTCATCCTCCTTCAAGTCCCACTTATGGTCACCTTGTAATATTCAGAGAGCACTTAGATTATGGATCTGAATAGACAAATGCTTATAGATAATCATTAGCCACATATCAGTAACTTAAAGATGGGATGGAGTTGTAAAGTGCTTTTATAATATGACATAATTGTTAAAGGCAAGGGCTGACTCGTTTTATTTTGACATGTCATGTCCTAAAATAAATATTGATTCAATATGGGGGGAAAAAAAGGGAAGAAATTGAGTCCACCCCTCATGAATGACTTTGAAGGTCTAAGACTTCCGTGGAGGAAGTCACTGCAGATGTGGTGTGGAGAACCTGAAGAAGTGACTAAATCGTTACAATCTCATGATTAAGCTGGAACAAATGAGAAGTTGCTTCTCATGCAGGAGCTAAGTCATTTCTTGAGATAGAATTACTCCTGATAAAGACTGTGAAGTTTCTTGAGATAGAATCTACTCCTGATAAAGACTGTGAACCTTGTTGAAATGACAACAAAGGATTTAGATTATTCCATAAATTTAGTTGATAAAGCAGCAGCAGGGTTTAAGAGGCTTGACTCCAATTGTGAAAGAAGTTCTACTGTGAGTAAAATGATATCAAACAGTGTCACATGCTACAGAGAAATCTTTCATGAAAGGAAGAGTCAATCAGTGTGTCAAAAGTTCATTGTTGCCTTATTTTAAGAAATTATCCAGCCACGCCAACCTTTAGCAACCACCACCCCATCAGTCAGCAGCCATCAACATGAAGGCAAGACCTTCCACCAGTCAAACGATTATGACTTCCTAAAGGCTTAGCTGATTGTTAGCATTTTTGAGCAATAAAGTATTTTAAAATTAAGGTATGTACATTATTTTTTAGACATAATGCTAATGCACACTTAGCAGACTTTAGTGTGGTAGAAACATAACTTTTATATGCACTGGGAAGACAAAACAAAATTCCATTACTCACTTTATTGTGGTATTTGCTTAACTGTGGTGTTCTAGAACCAAACCAGCAATATTTTCAAAGTATGCCTGTATATCTATAGATATCTATCACATAATAAATTAAAATGAAGAAAACAATAGAAACAATTTAAAATAAGCCAGTTATATAATACTATAAAGATTTTAATGTTAAAAACTCTATTTTCAAAAACTAAACGTGAGAAGAGTGGCATTCATTTGCATTTTAGCATTCATTTGCATTTTGGCACTCATTTGAAAATCTAATATCTAGCTTAATGGAGGACAGCTGAATTCTAACATCTGTTCTTGCATTCAAACTGTTGTGGTGGATTGTTTTCATTGCAATATATGAAGAACACTTGTTATCATACAGATATGTAGTTAGAAAAAGGAGCAAAATTTTGATAGCCTTAATATTTTCATACTTGATTACCTTAAAACCCATTGTTCTATTTTGCACTTTAAAGGAAACTTTTACCCATGTATGATCTTATATTGTGCAATGATCATACGGAAAATACTGGTTCACAGAGGTATATAGATATTCAAAACGTTAATAAAGTTCATTACACAGTATCAAAAATCACATCTAATGTGATTACCAATGTTAATGTCATTATCAATCCCACTAGAATAGTCTTTTTTTTTTTTAATAAAATTTCAATTTTTAATTTTAGATTCAAGGCATACATGTGCATGTTTGTTACCTGGGTATATTGCATGAAGCTGAGATTTGCAGTAGATAAACCCCATCAACGAAGTACTGAGCATAGTACCCAATGTTAGAATTTTTATAGAACTTAAATCTGCCATTGATGTGATTGACCTTGACATCTTTCTAGTATTTAAAGACTGTTCTGGGAGGTAGAGAGGGGTGCAAGGGTTGAAAAACTAACATTGCACTTGAAGTTTATCATGGTCAACACTTCCTTGAAGTGACAGGTTCATTTTCAAGAAAATGTCTGCCATGTACCGAAGATAATAACCAATTGATTTAAGCTTGAAAATCATAGTGACATTTTGGCCTGATCTACAGTCAGGCCTCAGTATCTGTGCATTCTATATCACGGATTCAACCAACTGTAAGTCAAAAATACTTGAAGAAAAAGAAGTATGGTTGTACTGAACATATACCTCCTTTTTTGTTTTCATTATTCCCTAAACAATACAGTACAACACTTTCATTGTATTAGGTATTATAAGTAATTAGAGGTGATTTAAAGTACATAGGAGAATATGCATAGGTTATATGTAAATACTATGCCATTTTATATAAAAGACTTGATATGGTTTGCATATTTGTCTCCACCCAACTCTCTCATGTTGAAATGTAATCCCCAATGTTGAAAGTGGGGCCTGATGGGGAGTGATTAGGTCACGGAGGCAAATCTCTCGTACATAGCTTAGTGCTGTCTTAATAATGGTGAGTTCTTATGGGATCTGGTTATTTAAAAATGTATGGCACCACCCTGTGCCTTGCATCTGCTTTTGCCATGTGATGTGCCTGCTCCTGCTTCACCTTTCACCAATGAGTAAAAGCTCCCAGAGGCCTCCTCAGAAGTCAAGTAATGTCAGTGCCATGCTTGTACAGACTGCAGGACCATGAGCCAATTAAACCACTTTTCTTTATAAATTACCCAGTCTCAGTTATCTATTTATAGCAACATGAGACCATGGATTTTGGTACCTGAAGGGAGTCCTAGAACCAATCCCCCTTACAGGTACTGAGGGACAACTATTACTTCAAGAAAGATATAACAAAGCTGGGGAAAATCTATAAGGCAAGAAAATTCAACAGTATGCAACTGATTTTATGACATATAATTAAAAATACCAAACCAAACCAGTCTGTCTACCTCTTTGGTATGCTTCACAGCACTCTGTTTAGAGCAATGTGTTACTGGCTGACTCACTCATTCTTCATACTAGAAAAAAGAGAACTTATAAGAGTTAATAGTAAACTCTCAAATTTGAAAACTTTATAGAAAAGAAGGTAACCTCCTGAGAGCTAAAATAGATGCTTATAGGAAAAATTAAAATAATAGTCCTCATTAATGAAGACATGGGATGTGAAAATCATCCTCGTCTCACACACAGGTAACAGCCTCATTTCTTATTTTTTGAGATGGAGCACTCTTGTTGCCCATGCTAGAATGCAATGGCGTGATCTCTGCTCACTGCAACCTCTTCCTCCCAGGTTCAAGCAATTCTCCTGCCTCAGCCTCCTGAGTAGCTGGAATTATGGATGCCTGCCACCATGCCTAGATGCCCAGCTTATTTTCTGTGTTTTTAGTAGAGATGGGGTATCACCATGTTGGTCAGGCTGATCATGAACTCCTGACCTCGTGATCTGCCCGTTGGCCTCCCAAAGTGCTGGGATTACAGGTGAGAGCCACCATGCCCAGCCCCTCATTTCTTTTATACTTAAGCAAGTGGTGTTTGATTAACATTTGAAGAATAGGTAGATGGTTAACTGGATGAAGACCTCCGGGTCTTCATTACATCAAGTGTAAATATCCGGGTTAGTAAAAAGCATCCAGGTAGAGTGAACAGGAACTGTAAACACCCTGAAGCAGGAAAAAGAATACCAAGTTCCAGGCTTGGCGTGGCTGGACAACAGAATATAAAAAACACGGTGGTACAAGATAAACCTAGAGAAGAAGGCAGGAGCTAAATCATGCAAGACGTCAAAGGCCATGTTAGGATTTGAATGTTTAAGGGAAATGGGAAGCACCAAAGGACGCAAAGAGGGTGACAAAACCAGCATTTCAATGACAATTTTGGCCATCCTATGGAAAATTAATTGGATTAAGATTAAAGAATCTGGGTAGACTAAGAGACTACTATAGAAATCTAGGTGAAAGAGGGTGTAACCTAGATCAAGATGATGACAATGTCAGTAGGTAGGCCTAAGAGATTAACTTTAAAATAAAACCAATCAGCATAAGACGTGAATTTTCCGAACTGTCTCTGTTTACTTATACATTTATTTTTCTGTATCTTTAATGGTGCAAATAGAAATTTAGGTGTGACCTATTACTTAGATTTTGCTTACAGGCTCAAAGTTCAGTGATAAAATACTATACAATAATACAGAAAGGGGGCAGTTAAGAAATATACCTGTATATCTGATAATAATAAACCAGATATAAAATGAAAAGCACATATATACAATTGCACATTTCTATCAGAAGTTTTGGAAGCATTACTAAATGTATGCTATTGAAGTGTAAATATCAAGTTTCATATAAAGTAACAGACCACATTCGGAAAAATTCTGTGAGTGCTGGCTGCCAAAATTGTTTGCTACTGATAAACAGAATATTATTACTCTTTTGTTGCTAATCTTGCTAGTTGTAATCTCTCATACATATGAAGAAATGTGTATGAGTGTGTATGCCCGCGTGCGCACGTGCACACACACACACACACATATACAGTGATAATAAATGTTGCATGCTTCCAGGAAAACCTAATACACTTAGTTTTAGATAGTACTAGTAATTATCTCACAACTTAATAGGAGTGTAACTGAGAAAACAAAAAGCAAAACATTCATTACAAAAAGTAATGAATGTTCTGTCTACCTGCTAGTTATAAACACCACAAAAATGAAAGCCTTTCATAATTTTAATTAATATTTGCATATGATTTTATATTTCTATAAAATGCTTAATATAAATTCATTTTATGACAAATATTTCTTCTTAAATTTAGGTATTTTAAGGCAATATACCTAAATTTGAATGTGAACTTCTAGATTTCTAGATTCAAATTCAAATCACTTTCCTGAAAACCGATTACCGCATACTGAATATCTATAGTATAAAAATAACCCTGAAGGCAGAATCATAGCAGTGTGTAGCAGAAAATACTTACCAATTTTTCATCAACTGTTATGAGTTGTGTGTCTTGAGTTTGGTCCTGTGCCAATCTCCATTCGGAAGTGCTCAATGACCTGCAGTACAAGACTTTAAATTAAAAAAGGACCCAGGCAATGAGAAGAGAGACAGACAAATCTTACATAAACAAGCTACTTTAACAATATCTGTCTTATTAAAAGGAAAGGAAAGAAAGAGAAGAGGGCACAAAAGTCCTTTTTCTCTGCAATTAGTTCTGTCTGCTGAGTTTTTGGCAGACTCACTTGACAGTTCACAACAGGCTGTGCTTTATGTCAGTCTTCAGGCTCTCTGTCACAGAAAGGCCACCAGTGACAAGTACTGTACTGCTGTCTGTGAGTGTACAGTGGCTGATTTGTCACGACCAGGCAGAAACATGCAAAGCTATACCAACTGTTCTGGAACGCTGATTCTTAAATGGATGGCATCAGAAAAGAAAAGAAAAAAATCTCAATCATAATAAAAAGTTTCTTCACTCTAATTTCACACCAAAAGTAGTTTACATAGGAATTATTTGTATAATTATTTTAACTAATGTTATTACTTTAGTCCTGTAGCCCATTTAAAAAATAGGAGAAAATTGGTTAAAATGAAAATATTAAGTCAGAAGTAAAATGGGCACAGAATCAGCCCGTTTATATTAGCATTTTCCTACTCTCCAAAAAAAATTACTTAACATTAATGGACGTTTCACGTACACATTGTTGTTTATACTACTGAATGTCATACCTATCCCTGACTGTGACATTTAGAATTTTCCATACTATTAGGGTATCTTATACAGATTTCTCTTGCAAAAGTAAGTATATACAACTATGGCTCAAATTTCCACCCCAAATATATGGCATTTGGTTCTTTTTTTTAATACAATACATTCACTATCATAATTTTAATGCAACATAACCAATAATTGACAGAAATAGTCGAACTTTTTGTACTAAAAGTTCAAATTTTGATTATATGTACACAGCCATATAGAAAACTTTATTAATTATAATTTAAAGATAATATAACACAAGAGGCTTTACTGCTTTATGAATATATTTTAAAATACCTGTCAATTATTTCCCAAATTCAAGATGTTATATAATTCTTTATCACTGTAAATGTCCCACTCAGAAATACACCTACACAAAATATACTAACATGGAAATAACTTTAGATGATTTACACAGAGTTAAAATATATGTCCCAGTTGTTATAATATTAAAGAAGTATAATTAAGCACCTCTTAGTATCTATTTTATCTTGGAAATCATTAAGGTCAATAACATGGCAATAAACAAAATTTAAATACTTTTAAATGAATCCACATATTACAAGAAAAACACTGGGTAATGACAAGAGAACTCAGGAGAACTTGAAATATCAGAAAATGTCATTACATTTTCTAAACACAATAAATAGATCCCCCTCATCCTCTTGGGATACCTTTCAAGATGACCACTGGATGCCTAAAACTGTAAAAAGAACTGAACCCTGTAATACATACATACCTATGACAAAGTTTAACTTATACATTAGGCAGTAAGAAATTAACAATAATAAAATAGAACAATGAAGTAAAATAAAGGCTACTTGAATAAAAGCACTGCAATACTGAGACAGTCAATCTGATCACCAAGATGGCTACTAGGTTTTGACTAACACAAGCAGGTATCCTATACAACCTGGATACACTAAACAAAGGGATGATTTACATCCTGAATGAATCAGAGCTGGACGGCATGAGATTTCATCATACTACTCAGAATGGAACAAATATTAAATTCACGAATTGTCTGTTTTGGGAATTTTCCACTGCATATTTGTGTACTATAGTTGACTGTGGGTAACTACAACCATGAAAAGCTACACTATATTTTCTCAAATGAAGAGACTTGTTAGATGAAAACAGTGCAAATTATTAGGTAGATAAAAACTCAACCATTTGTGCAATTTTTGACTACACAAGGGATTTAACTTAATTATGTCTTCATTGTTTAAGAAAATCAGTGCATATTAGTTGTAACCCAAAGTAAAGTTCTTAATTTATAGAACCATACATAATGTACTTTAAGGATAGATATATTTTAATAATTTTAGGTTAACCTCCAACTAATTATAACAATAAAGTTATATAACATCTTTTGTAAACATATGAAATATTATAAACAAATGCATTGACAAAAATTTATCTCATATTGTTATCAAGCTGTATATAAAAGACAATACAATAAAAAGGACAAAAATGTTAAATAAAACAATCCTACCATAAAGTTAAAAAATCACAATGAAAATTTTTGGTAAAAAATTTTTAAAAATAGGTTAGAGTGCAAAGAGATCATAAATTGGGATTTTAATTTTTATTTAAAACAATATATATAATTTATTTCAGAAAAATTTGCCTAAATTAAAAAGTAATGTGTGCTTGTGTAAGTTATATCATGTGATAAGTAACTACCCTAAGCAAAGAACAATTACTAAAGGACTCAAATATCAGATATGGAGAAAAGTTTTCTGCAATTCTGGATGGTTAAGGCAACAATGAAGAAGGTCCAGAGTCCATTATGAACACAGCATTTAATAAGTTATACCTACTGGGCCAGGCACAGTGGCTCCTGCCTAAAATCTCAACACTTTGGGAGGCTGAGGTGGGCAGATCACCTGAGGTCAGGAGTTCAAGACCAGCCTGGCCAACATGGCAAAACCCCATCTCTACTAAAAATACAAAAATTAGTCAGGCATGGTGGTGCGTGCCTGTAGTCCCAGCTACTCGGGAGGCTGATGCAGGAGAATCTCTTGAAACTGGGAGGCGGAGGTTGCAGTGAGCCAAGATTGTACCACTGCACTCCAGCCTGGGTGACAAAGCAGGACTCTGTCTCAAAAATAAATAAATAGATAAATTATACCTACAAAATACAATATATAGTAAATTTTAGACTACACATGAATTATATAGTAAATACCTGTTTGCTAATTACCCTATAAGGAATATCACATCAGTGAATGGTAAAGAAAATATTAGAGTACAAAACCCTTGTTAAGAAAAAAGATATAAGGCCTACAAAGCAAAAAGGAAAAAAATGACAGAAGCTATTACATAAAACCAAAAACATCAAAACCAAACATACTGAAAGTGAAGTGTAAGAAAGACGAGAAGAAAATAATATAAAGTAGAACAGTATGGGATCAACATCTAAAAGAGGTAAAAGTGCTTCTACAAATAAGTACGGGGTCATTTCTAAATTTTAAAAGATGAGCTCAAACAGCAACAAAACAACCCAATTAAAAATGGGGAAAAGACCTGAACATTTATTTATCCAAAAAAGATATACAAATGGCTAATAAGTACATGAAACAATGCTCAACAGAACTAATTAGAGAAATGTAAACAAAACACAATGAGACAGCATTTTACACCCATTAGAATAGTTATTAAAAAACAGAAAATAAGTATCAACAGAAATGTACAGAAATTGAAACCCTTATGGGAGTGTAAAATGGTACCACCACTATGGAAAGCAGTACGGCAGTTTCTCAAAAAATTAAACAGAATTATCCTATGATCCAAGAATTCCATTACTGAGTATATACCTAAAAGAACTAAAAGTAGAGATGTGAATAAATATTTATACACCCATGTTTATAGCAGCATTACTTAGAATAGCCAAAAGCAAAAACAGCCAAAATATTAATAATCATATTTTACTGGGCAATGTACCAAATAGTAGGAAGTGTTCATGTAGAAACAATGACTAATATGTAATCATTAGAAAATAAATGGCAATTTCACTTACTCTGCTATTTAATACTCATTTTTGAGAAAATTAAAAACATTGTTTGCTTCACGGGTTTGCCTTTATTTTTGCCCATCTGTTTTGTTAATTGGCCAGTTCATATTTCAGGTGTACAGAGTATCATTCTTAATTTTCAGCCCAAAGGATAAACTCTGAGGGTTGTGATTATTATTATCAATTACCATTACTGGTCAAGGTAGTTATAAGTGTATAATCCATTTATTCTATTTTTCTGTATAAGTTTCCTGAAAGAAAAAGAGATATTCTAGAAATGAAAATCAATAAACCTTATTTCTATTCATGATTTTTATTAGTAAACCTTATTTCTAACTCTGGTTAAGTAAAACAATCTGGTGAGACTGTTTTAGTTAACATTTTTCTTTTTTATTGTGTTGTCTTTTACATACAAGTTGATAACAATATGAGATAAATTTTTATTTATAATAGTTCATATGTTTACAAAAGATATTATATAAACATATTTTGTTGTATATGAGCAAATATCAACTCCTCTGCCTTTAGGTTTTATTCTTTGAAAAATTGAGAAACTTATTACTCTAAGGTTTCTTCTAGTGATGACAGTCTATTTCATTCTAGTAAGTAGAATTGAAGGTAGTTCTACTTTGTTTTAATATTCTCCTGTGGAAATGCAATGCAATCATCACCCAATTCACACAATAATCTGTTTTTCTTTAAAAAAAAAAAAATCTTTCAAAACCATATATATACACCACATTTTCTTTCTTTCTTCATCCACTGATGAACATTTAGGTAATTTTGCTAAAAACATTCATGTGCAGGTTTCTGTGTGGACATTAAGTTTGCCACTCATTTGGGTAAATACCCAGGAGCACAATCACTGATTATGTTAAGACTGTGTTTTAGCTTCATAAGAGACTGCCAGACTGTCTTCCAAAGTGCTGTACCATTCTGTATTGTCACTGACAATAAATGAGACTTGTTGTTCTCTTCATCCTTGCCAGCATTTGGTGTGGTATTTTGGATCGCAGCCATTCTAACAGGTGTGTAGTACTATTTCATTGTTGTTTTAATTTGTAATTCCTGAATGACATATGATGTTGAACACATTTTCATATGCTTATTTGTCATCTGTATATCTTCTCTGGTGAGGTGTCTGCTTAGATCTTTTGCCTACTTTTTAATTGGATTGTTTTCTTACTGTTGAATTTTAAAAATTATTTGATACTGAAGATATAGTTCTTTATTAAATACGTGTTTTGCAAATATATCCTCCTAGTCTGTGGCTTGTCTTTTCATTT